GGGACCAACCACCACCGCGTCCATTGGTGAAAAACACTATTTCGTGACTTTTATCGATGATCACTCTCGGAAAGTATGGGTCTACTTTCTGAGGCAAAAGTCAGAAGTATTTGAAGCTTTCAGGATATGGAAAGTTATGGTCGAGAATGAGACCGGTCTGAGAATAAAGAAGCTCAGGACCGATAATGACGGTGAATATGAAAACACCGGATTCAAGAAGTTCTGCTATGAGCACGAGATCAGAATGGAGAGAACCGTGCCTGGCACGCCTCAGCAAAATGGTGTAGCTGAGCGGATGAACCGGACGTTGATAGAGAGAGCCAAAAGCATTCGGGTATAGTCAGGCCTACCGAAGTAGTTCTGGACAGAAGCGATCAACACAGCAGCTTACTTGATCAACGGAGGTCCATCGGTTCCATTGGAGCACAGAATACCAGAGGAGGTATGGTGAAGAAAGGAGGTAAAACTCTCACATCTTAAAGTTTTCGGTTGTGTAGCTTACGTGCATATTAGTGATCAAGACAGGAATAAGCTTGATCCCAAGTCAAAGAAATGCACTTTCATCGGCTATAGTGAAGATGAGTTCGGCTACCGCATTTGGGACAACGAAAACAAAAAAGTGATCAGGAGCAGAGATGTTATATTCAACGAGAAGGTGATGTACAAGGACATGCACAAGACAGATGACTCAGAGAGCGAGTCAACATTTATAGATGCAGATGATGTCCCGAGTAACCTCTCGAAAGAACCCAATGCAGAAGATCCTCAGACAGAAGAGTTTGTTGGACAAGATGGTGCGCAGGAGCCTGATGCATCAGCTCCGATATTAAGAAGATCTTCTCGTCCTCCTGTACCCAACAGGAGATATATGAACTATCTGTTGCTGACAAACAGTGGGGAGCCTGAAAGCTTTGATGAAACTTGTCAGGGTGGAGATGCGAGCAAGTAGGAGCTTGCCATGAAAGATGAGATGAAGTCTCTCATCTCAAACCAGACATGGGAACTAGCTGAGTTGCCCACGGGTAAGAAGGCACTCCACAACAAATGGGTGTACCGGGTGAAAGAGAAGCAGGATGGTTCCAGAAGATATAAAGCCCGGCTAGTTGTCAAAAGATTCCAGCAGAAGAAAGGAATTGATTACACTGATATTTCCGCTCCCGTTGTGAAGCTAAATACTATCAGGACAATGATGGGTATTGTAGCAATTGAAGATCTTCATCTCGAGCAGTTGGACGTGAAGACGGCGTTTCTTCACGGAGATCTAGAAGAGGAGATATACATGCACCAGCCAGAAGGTTTCTCAGAAGAAAAGAAGAAGAACCTGGTGTGCAGACTCAAGAAAAGCTTGTATGGCCTGAAACAAGCCCCAAGGCAGTGGTATAAGAAGTTTGACGGCTTCATGCACAAGGAAGGTTTCCAGAAGTGCAACGCCGACCACTGTTGCTACTTCAAAAGATATCAGTCCAGTTATATCATCCTACTACTGTATGTTGATGATATATTGGTTGCAGGAGCAGATATGGAGGATATCAGGAGTTTGAAGCAGCAGCTGTCAAAGAAGTTTGACATGAAGGACTTGGGTCCAGCGAAGAAGATCCCTGGAATGCAAATCTCGAGAGATAAGAAGAGAGGTCTCTTGCAGTTATTTCAGGCGGAGTACATCAACCGTATTTTGCAGAGATTCAACATGGGCGACGCTAAGCCAGTGAGCACACCCTTGACCAGCCATTTTCGTCTATCAATGGATCAGTCTCCTTAGTAAGAAGAAGAGAAAGAGAGTATGGCCCAGGTCCCTTACGCCTCAGCTATCGGAAGTTTGATGTACGCAATGGTCTGTACGAGACCAGACATTGGCCATGCAGTGGGAGTGGTCAGCCGGTTTATGTCGAATCCAGAAAAAACTCATTGGGAAGCGGTCAAGTGGATTCTGAGGTATCTACGAGGCACCACACAGAAGTGTTTGCATGGGAAGCGGTCAAGTGGATTCTGAGGTATCTACGAGGCACCACACAGAAGTGTTTGCACTTTGGTAAGAGAGAGGTGAAAGTGCAAGGGTACGTAGATGCAGACTTTGGAGGTGAAGTTGATCACCGAAGAAGCACCACCGGCTATGTATTCACTGTCGGAACTACAGCTGTTAGTTGGATGTCACAGATACAGAAGATTGTCACTCTGTCCACTACAAAAGCTGAGTATGTTGCAGTGACTGAAGCCAGTAAAGAGATAATATGGTTTCAGGGTTTGTTAACAGAGCTGGGATTCAATCAGGAGAAGAATGTTCTGCACAGTGATAGTCAGAGTGCAATTCACTTGGCTAAGAATTCCGCATTTCATTCTAGAACGAAGCATATTGCGCTTCGGTGCCACTTCATCAGATCCCTGCTGGAAGATGACGTGTTGAAACTGGAGAATATTCCAGGAAGTAAGAATCCAGCAGATATGTTAACAAAGATGGTGACTGTTCAGAAACTGGAGTTGTACGCAACTTCAGTTGGCCTTCATGCATGAGTGATGAGGGCGGAGCCACACAGGAGAAGGAGCTTGATGAGATAGCCTGTTGACGACGGTTTGGTCTCCAAGTGGGAGATTGTTAGCTTTGGGGGTGAAGCCCAAACCTTGCAGGCGAGCTCGAGGTCCTGCGGTTCGCGACCTCTTGAGCAGGCGAGTTCGTGGTCGCTGCAGGCGAAGTTCTCAAACAGGCGGACTCCTCCAGGCGGGTCGAGCTCCAGGCGAAATTGGGCGCAACAGCAGGCGAGCTCGAGGAAATCCACAGGCGAGTTCGAGGCTGGCGGATTTTACACAGGCGAGATCGCGCGTGGCTGGCGACAGCCTATCACCAGCCCTAAAGTCCCCCCTATAAAAGGAACCGAAACCCTAGCCCTCCTTGTTCTGCAGATTTTCCCTTTCTCTCTCTCTTCGATTCCAGGCGGCGGGGGCGACTATTCCCAGTTCCTCCTCGTGTTCGTCTTCAAGCGGCGGCGAAATTTTTCTCTTGGGTTCTCTTTGATCTCCAGCACCTCTCACGTGATTGAAAGGGGGGTTAAAGAAGAGGGAAATAGAAGAGGGGTGATTTAAGAGGGGTACTTAAAGAAGTGGGGGAATCTTACTGTAGCTACAGTATTAGCCTTGAAATTTATTGAGGAATCTCAGTTTGAGATTCGCTCTGAATTGTAATTTCTTGTTAAGATGAATAAGAAATTTATTGTGTGGCTCCCGAGGACGTAGGCAGTTGCCGAACCTCGTTAAATCTTGGTGTACTTTCTCTATTCTGCGTTTCTGTTGCATTAGGGATTTCGACGTTAAATTCCCAACACAACCAAGGTAATAGAAGCTTAAAAACAGGAGCTCCAGAATGTAAATTCTTACTAACTTCCAAATGCATAGATTTTAAGGTTCTGTATGCAAACCGCTAATCTGAACGCCGAAAGCAATTTCCTAATCAACTCGTCAGCCATATGCTTAGGTCGAGCATTTCGTCAAACATGTTACAGGCATTTTTAAAAAAAAATTGGAAAATAGAAAAATATCAACTAAGTCGAAAATAGGGTTTCTTGATTCCCTTTTGAAAGCCTCCAATCTCAATGCGGATCGACCACCCCATCTACTCCGAATAACCTTTGCAACTGCGGATACCTATTCACTTTCATGTCTTTTATCATGTTTCTTTTGTATTAGATCATGCAATATTCGCATGTCCTTTCGCTTCTCTCAATCCTCAGGAGTAACATCTAAACATAAATCTAACATTGGTATCTTCTATAAAACCAAATGTAGGAATACTAAATTCAGTTGTCAAAATTTTCTAAACTTACATCTTCCATCATCATTAACTACATGTAGTAAATTTCAGTTATTTAACAACAAATCCTCCATAAAAACAACTCTTCCAACTTCTTCTCTTCTCCATCCAATAAAAAAAACACACCCTCTGTTTCTTATACTTCATGGAGATCAGGCTTCACCTCTAATCCCTCTCCCATCAAAGATGGCACGAAGGCTGCCTTCTTCTGAAGGCACCCTTTTCTTGCATTCAACCCTCTCCTTCTCTCTCATCGCCGCCTGCATCGCCGCCTCCATAGCCATCTTCGCCTCCTTATGCGCGACCTGCAACCGAAAACCCTCAACAACCTCACCCAAATCGCCCTCCCCTGATCATAACAATGAAGAGGAACCAACTCAAGTCGATGGAGAACGAGAACCAGAATCAGAGCAGGAGGAATGGGACCCACCGATGTCGGAAGAGAGGATAACGGAGCTTGAAGCGGCAATCCATGGGCCTATATATCCGACAGAGCCTGCAGGGTCCACGTCGAAGAGAAGGATTTCGGTGAGTTTGAGTATCGGAATTAAGGATGGGTTGTCGAAGATCAAGACGAAGAAGGATAATGGGAAATTTGGAGGACGAGAAGAGTCCTTGTGGAAGAAGACTATAATTCTGGGAGAGAAGTGTAGGATGAAGAGCGAGGAGGAAGGCGGGGAGGCGACAAGTCGGAGGTCGCAGGAGGAGGAGGAGGTTGTGTGAGCCATGTGGAGGGCATTGTTACAGCGGAAGGATGGGGATGGACCCATGTATTCCTACATGCGAAGCATTTTTGAGATCACAATGCACGTGTAATTTGTATTGGAATTTGTGGGTGTGTATATAGGAGACCTTCCCCGCCAATTATATACATCACTTCAAACTGGCTTCCCCCAACCCCACTACAAAAAAAATAATAATAATAATCACAAGGTAATAACATAGTTAAGCTATACAAATTTACTTCAACATGATAAGAAATTTAGTAGCAAACATATTTTAGTAGGCAAGCCTCATGCTCTCCAGCTAAGCGTTAATGCTGATCCAAAAACATGTGAACAAGCCTCTAAATTAGACTATTGCACGAGTTGTAGTACGTACAACTCTCAAGAAACATGCAAGGTACCACAGGAATCAAGAACGCAAATATACTAAGCTTTCTTCATTTTTAAACAAGCACATACCTAATTCCGTAACGATATCGCTAACAAAAGCTGCCTTTTTGCATGAATTACTCACATAGATAAGCGCAGATAATGCTTTAGAAAACAAAGAACCATAAATAAATAAATAAAACATAAATAAGAATCAAATTGTGGCAGTCCTAAATGGGCAACACCGATATATCTATCAGTATTGCCAGTTTCGTGTAATATTTCTTTTTACAAAGAGAGGAAAGCAATAATTCCTTGTAACTATTACTTAACCTTATCTAAATTAAGAGACTCAATGCCTTTGAGAGTGGACTCGTAGTTCATGGTTGACGGAAGCCTTACAGATGAACTTCTCTGAGCACTCGAAAACTTATGGAAAGTTCCAGGGCTTGCTTCTGAGGTTCGAGGGCGAGAGAGTTCAGTCTCGCTGCCTATCATCACGTCTCTGCTGCTAGCAGCAGCAGGTCGCCTTGAGGTACCGCCTGATCTTCCCAAAAAAGTTGAACTGGATACCTACAAGTGATTATTGTATTCTGTCAGGAATTGCAAACAAATGAACAGTAGTATTTTGTGTTTGATTTTTGGGTAAACTTGCATATAACTCTCTTCATCTATACGTTTAGTAGCACTTATGACCCCTCAATCAATTGATAAGGGCGAGTATATACAATTTCTTCTTCTCCAAATACCAACCCAGGGACGTAAGTGTTAATAAACAACTTGGGAGTAACAAGTGCTAATAAAATGAGGGGATGGGGTTTAACTGCAATTTACCCTGGATTTCCTAATACTGTTTTTTATGGGGAAAATGTGAACTTGTACTACTAAAAACCCCTAATTGTAAGATGATCATAATTTTTATGAACATAAATTTTCTCTGAGTCCAGCCATCTAGTGGCTATCAACGACTATTCTGTAGCCTATTTTGAAATGGCTCACTTAATGTTTCAGAAAGTACTCAAGAATAACATGTAGAATCTATAAAAACTAGGGTAAATCTCACAATTCCCCATTGAACATTGCAATGCTTTGCATGAATCACCCCTAAACTTAATAAATTAGAGAATACCCCAAAACTTGTTTTCACTAAAACACATTGCGGTTAGTTTCATTTATCACACGCTCTTATGTAATTAATATATCTGTAACATTACCCTCTTTTCAGATTATCGTCAGCATTATCATCAGCAGATAGTAATAAGGGTCGTTTAGACCTTTCACCCTTCACATTAAGGCCGTTTATGATGATTTCCAACAGTTCAGGAGGGTTTTGTATGATTTAGATGTTTTCTTAATTTCTAATGTTTAAGGCTTTTGTGCAATACACCACAAATTTAAGGAGGTTTTTTGTGAAATTTAACATGAATACTCAATCATGAAAATTATTTGCTCAAATGACTCCAAAACAACAAAACAATACATTAATAAGTTCCTTATTATATTGGCTAAAATACCAATTTAGCCTATAAAGTGACACACCCTAACCAATAAGACCTAAAAAGTGACGCTGGCAACAATAACACCTATAAATTGACACGGTTAACCACTTTAACCTACTTCGGACGCCGGAATTTTGGTTTGACCGCGGAAAGTATAATATTTTGCATTTATACTCCTCGTATCTCTCACACTTACATATTTACCCTCTAATTTTTTAAATATTTACAAAAAATCCTTTTTCCTCCCCCCCCCCCCCCCCACACCTCCCTCCCTCCCCATCTCTCTTCCTCTCCCCCCCCCACACCTCCCTTCCCTCCCATCTCTCTTCTCTCCCCCCCTCCCCCACCCCATCTCCCCCCCCCCCCCACCATCTCCTTCATCCTCCTCTTCTCCCCTCTATCACATCATCTCCACTTTCCTCGCCGGAATTTTTGTTTGACCGCCCGGAAAGTATAATATTTTGCATTTATACTCCTCATATCTCTCACACATTACATATTTACCTCCACTTTTTTTAAATATTTACAAAAAAATCCTTTTTCCTCCCCCCACCCCCACCTCCCTCCCTCCCCATCTCTCTTCCTCCCCCCCACCCCATCTCTCCCCCCCCCCCACCATCTCCTTCATTCCTCCTCTTCTCCCATCTATCACATCATCTCCACTTTCCTCTTTCCAAAATACTCTCCTCCCCTTTCCTTCTCACCCCCCCCCTCCCCCATCTGCTTCATCCTCTTCTTCTCTCCTTTCTTACTCCCTCTCCTCTTTCCTCCTCCCCAAAATCCTCACATTTACCTCCTCCTCTCCCTCCTTCTCCACCCATATTCCTCCCCTTAATCTCTCTCTATTCTCTCATCTTAGTCTTCTCCTCCCCTTTCCTCCTCTCCTTTCCTCTCTCTCTCCCCTCTCCCTCAAACACTAACCCAAAAGTGGAGAAGTGTCCCCTCTCCCTCAAACACTAACCCAAAAGTGGAGAAGTGAGTGGAGGAAGTGGAGGAAAGAAATGGAGAAAAGTGAGGAGAAAAGTGAGGGGAGTGGAGAGAGAGAAAGGTTGAAAAGAAAGAGAGAGTTTGGTTTTTATGTAAATATTTTAATTTCGATGATAAATTTGTAAATATCAGAGAGATGAGGGATATATATGAAAAAATCCATATATATTTTTTGCACAAATCAAAATTCCGGCGACCGGAGTAGGTTTAAGTGGTTAGCTATGTCAATTTATAGGTGTTATTATCGCCAGTGTCACTTTTTAGAAATTATTCGTTAGAGGCTATCACTTTATAGGCTAAATTGGTATTTCAGCCTTATTATATTTAAGTTGTTATGCTACCCTGTAAACTCTACCATTAACTTTGCAGCAGATGACAGATGATATCATGACAGATTATTCCAAACAAACTGCTTTCTTATATTAAAAATTTTGATAGATTTGAGGCTCCAAACAGTTTTATTTGCAACAACATCATTATGCACTTGGTACAGATACTCAGAAATTCATTGCACCAAACATTTTTTGGCCAATTGAAATTAATTTTTTTAACCTAATATATTTTACTAAGATTCACAGATAAATAACAAACAAACATTGAGCTAAAAGTAGGAAAGGTTTCAGATTGATATAATGTCACCAAATCTCTCATGTAGCTTTAATAACTTGTATGTAGTGACTAGCAAATCAAATTGCCAAGGCATTAGATAGTATGTAAAGATTTTCATATCATATAATAGTAAAGGTATCAGGGTAGATGATATAAATAATATGTTCCATGAATAAAAAAAAGCAATACTATTCTTGAAATTTACATTAGCTTATATTGCTATAGCATAATAACTGCTAAAAGATAAGGTAAAACCAGCTTACCATGGCTTCTCTCGAAGCAGATGAATCACTTATCGCTGGACTTTTCTGCTTTGACAAAGTACCAGCATTGATAGCTGGTGCTGTAACTCGCCGTCTAGAGAGGTCTGCTCCTGGCCAACCACTTGTCCTTCCTTCTTCACCTCCTGACAAAGTTAAAAGAAGAAGATATCATCCTTTCATCTGAAAGGAATTGCAAACATTGTTGTAGATGAAAAAATGTTGAATATGGTTTACTTATAAATCTTTTCTATACTTTTGTTACAACTATGCCATAGATTTAATTTATTTTTAATTAGGTAAATAGTAACTACTACTTTACACCATGCTGTGTATGATATCAAGAGGCCAAGCATCACTCTGCATGCTTTCACTTTTTTAGTGACAGATGAAAATTAATGTGAACAGGCACTCAATGATTTTACTTCAAAAAATATTAATATTGATGAATTGATTGGAATTTTTAAAAAATTCAAAAGTTATAAGCTGCTTGATCCCCTTCTGATCCATGATCTAGTATTTATGTTAACAAAGATACACTATCAAGTAATGAAACCCAAGAGCCACATCAAGAAATTTGTTTAAATGCATCATGATACAACTGATGTTGCAGGCTAAAAATTTCATGAAAATTTAAGTAAAGAAAACTTGTTTGACACTAAAGTTTTAACTCCCCACTATTACTCAAAAAACTTACCTGACTGCCGATCAGCATTGGCAATAGCAGGGGGCATCCCGGAGCTAGGGCTAGCACCAGAACCCTGAAATAATACATAAAAAGTCAATTATATGACGAAAGATAATCCAGAAAACAATATGGTGGCAATATTGTAACTCACAAGAGTACGTGGAGGGGCCCTAGCAACCTGTGCCTGCTGATACTTCAATATTGACCAGTCAAAAACATAATCAAATTGGAAACCTGTAAATAAAGAATGAGAGTTATTATGATAATGCAGTATTATGTGATAAAAAGTCACTTCGGATAATTTACATTTAAGAAAAGACAGCAACCAACCTTCACGAATGAAAAGTTCTCGAAATATTCTCTTAAGATAAGGATAATCTGGTTTATCATCAAATCGTAATGTACGACAGTAGTGAAAGTATGATGCAAATTCTGAAGGATAACCACGGCATAGGGCCTGAAGATATAATGATTCATCCATTTTATAGTCATATTTCAGCATCTGAAAAGAGGAAGCTACCTGGCGAAAGTCATTATAAATTATATTTGTTAAGGAGTTTTACCTCAATAGATGTGGATACTTTTCTTTCGCTAATCTTTTCATATTTCTGTTTCTTGGTTCCTGCTTTTAGACCCTGCCATGGCAGGCTGAAAGGAGCCCCAAAAAGTAAAATTATAAAACAAGACATCTCAAGAAATGAAGCACTAACAACATTAAGAAGTCACACCTTCCTCTCAAGAAATACATGAGAACATATCCAAGAGATTCCAAATCATCCCTCCGACTTTGTTCTTACCAATGCATACAAATCAAAGATCAGTAACCCATAGCAGGATACAAGTCTAAGTAAAATATTTAGCATAGAAAGCAAAAGGAGTGAAGAAGAATAAAGTTCAAAAGAGCAATAAGAAAACGCATCAGAGAGCTCATGTTAACGTTGCATACATATATTAGACATACCAATGCCAAGATGTGTATTCACACTAGCATATCTTGCTGTCCCAGTCAAGTTTTTGTTCTCTCTGCAAATTTAATGAACATTAGAGAACATGCGTGTTATGTAGAAAATCTGAATATCATTTTATCAAGACACGATAACAAGATTTATACCATAATTAATACTAAATGGTCTGACATAATAAATTTAGAATACAGATATTAAACATTTGTTAGAGGATCACCAAGTAGCAGTTATGCAATCATGATTTGAGAGGATCATTATAGTGCATGCATATCATAATATATAAGAAATAGAGAATTGTGAAATGTCATACAAAATGCAGGCATATCATTTACAAAATGTAGGTATATCATTTAACAGGAAATCAAAAGGTAGATTCGCAGAAGCTGTGCATGGATTCAATAAACAACAAAAACCTAATAACTGAATTAAACAAAATACCTATCATTTTTAACCAGCAGTAATTTAATAGCCCATCAAACATGACTTACCATAAGCATTCATGTGCTCGTGGTACAATACAGTACAATACTTGTCAACTTGACTATGTTGTTTAAAATCCACGAACAAACTCCACCATTTCTCCACAGGCGATGAATGATCGATCCTAGTAACAAAATGAACATCCCCTAAGTATTCCTTGCCAGCCAATGTGAATCATGCCATATCTTTTCCCAAGTTTTACTAGTTAAAATTCGGCTATCCTATTCCTTGCCCGCCAATGTGAATCATGCCCTGGTTTTTTCCCAAGTTTTACAAGTTAAAATTCGGCTATCCTTCTTTTCACTTACCAACACGAAATCAATTAGATTCTAATGTTTCTCTCAGCTTCTTACTTAAGTATTTTATCCTCTCTAATCTCATCAACTGCCATGAGACACATCCTTAAAAGTTGATGCATCTATAGTTAATAAAGAGATAAAAACTTATTAGCTATAGCAGCAAAGTCACTCACAGGACTAGTATCGAGTTAGAAATGCAACATCACTTACAACTAGATTTTACTTTTAAATCGAAGTACAAGCTCTAAGCAATCAACACAAATGGCATTTAGAGGCAAGAATGCCACTCCAAAACATGAAGTCATGTACCTTCCATGTCTTACCTATATGGAATGTGTTGATGAGTTGAAGTATCTCTATACTTCTTAGCAAGACCAAAATCAATAACGTACACCTGGAGGATGCAAGAATAAAATAGAAGTCAGATGTGCATTGAGTAACATAAAGAGGAATAAACTAGATATACCTTCAATGGCATACCTGGTTAGCCCGCCTCCCTAAACCCATAAGAAAATTATCAGGTTTGATATCTCGATGGAGAAAAGATTTTGAATGAACAAATTCAATTCGATTAATCTGGCACAAAAAGATGAGACAGTTGGACAAAATCTCACATTATAAGAAATACTAAAATGGCTGACATATTATTAGCTAGGGTATACCATCTGATCAGCAAGCATGAGAACAGTCTTTAAAGACAGCTTTCTACTGCAGAAGTTAAACAGATCTTCAAGACTCGGTCCCAACAAATCCATAACCAGAACATTATAGTCACCTTCAACACCAAACCATCTGACATTTGGTATTGTGTCAAATATGCAAATATCTGAAAAACGATTAACAACAAGCTGAAATCAGCATTTTTCTTACTTCCTCCTTGTAAAATCCTGTAGAGCTTTGATTCGTACAGCAATTGAGGATGTTTGGTCTTCACATTTTCCTGAGAAGGAAAAGACGTTGTGATATGAGTGCAACAATTACTGCCAGTAAGGGATTCTTGTGAGCATAGATAAGAAGCAAGCTTTACTGTAGAAGTAAAACAATTGACCTTGACGAGAAAAATTATGCAAGCAAAACTTGCTGGAGGAAAGTAAAACAATAACCAACATAAAATATGGTTAGATTCATTATTCATCTTTCACCATTTGTTCCAATCAAGTGCAACTAACAATATCATGGAAAGCTTATCCTAATATATGACAATTCTTCTCCTCACACAAATTTAAGCTGTTTATGTAAGATGCCTTCCCTTTTCTCTCACTAGCTAAGACCTAACGTGTAATCTTCCCTGCAATGTTCATAGTCATAGCTAACACTATTGTCTTAGTCCAAATATCACTTCAACTCCTCTCCCAAGAAATCAAAAAGTGCACACCATTTTTTCTGCACAAATTACAAATTAATAATGATCTCTTGTCATTGATCATCACCATCATCATCCTCATCATAATGGAGTCACTTGTTACTGAGTGAAACTTTGTTCTAAAGACATTAAACAAATGGTCTGCCGGAAAATAGCAAATTTCTCTGACATGGGAACTATGTGTGAAAGAGGTACTTCCCATAACCTAGTAAACCAAGTAGCATGTGTAGTAGTCTACCTTAATCAATGAAGTACCTACTCATATTCTCATAGTCTGATGAGGCATAGGGAACACACCTTAGGAAAGCCAAATGCAACTCATGGCAATAGATAGAAATAGCATACAGTGTCGATGTAATCTCCAACAAAAGTTTGTAAGTTGTAACAACTAACTTTGACAAGAGAAACCGGCATATAATCAGCGCTGTAACAAGCGTATAACTAAGATGGTGACTTGACTGCCACCTCATCATTTGACAAGTATTCAACATGGCATGCGCCAATTTAAATGACGGTAACTCTAAGCTTAACAAAAGAACAAAAATTTCATTTAATCTAATGATCTAAACAGTAAGATGTGATTGTGTGTTGTTGTCTTCATAAAAAATTGCATTAGTCTGTGAGATTGGCATTGTAACAATGAGACCCTGAAGCATCACTTGCCTCTTGAAAGATAAATTCACAGGTGATATATTTAGATGCATACATATACATGCATGCATATATACATATATATACTGCATGTGCATTCTAATTATTACAAATTCAATATGTCACATGAAACTCAATAACTAGGAAAACCCATTTAGCTCTGGCAATGACTAAACTGGCAGTAAGAGAGTGCTTCTTATCACTGCAATATCAAGTTTGGAAAAAATAATCGCAAGTGAAAATAATCTCAATGGAAGTAATCTCGAGGGCAACAGAAGAGGCCTCTTTTTAGTAGACAAAATTTCCTGCCAAAACAGCCTAATATATTGTTCTTGTATAGCACAAGTCTCATGCAGGATAAGTTCATAGCACTAACAAAACAAGGACCGTAGTTTCAGGTTCTGCAGACTTTCATAACAAGGTTACAACAGTACAGCAAGCGTGACTGGATCATATGATCTTTCTGACTGAACACTCATATCAATGTTCACATTGATAAATGTAGTCAACTAGGAAAGTTCAAATTCAACACTAGAAGGTACATAACAGAACAGCAATTACAACAAAGCATTTATATGACAACTCTTGGGGTTGGCCACATGGGTCGTACTCTTCCATTCAGTTTCCTTCAGAGCTATCTCCCCCACTTCGTTCATCATTATTAATCTATCGTCCCTTATTAACAACAGTGAAACTTTACATCATGTTATCATATTGTACATACGGAATATCAATCCGACCAACATATCAGGGTGATGATCAGTGCTCCGAATACTTTTCCAATATTTCTTGCCCACAACAGCATAGCATAAATTCACTCCATGGAGTTCAAAGACACACACACACACATAACAAAATTGAAAGAAACTTTGCTACTTTTCACGTGGACCTCCACAAACTAACAAGCAAAATCTATTCTTAATTCAATAGTACATGACATACATAAGCTCAATAAGCAAATACACCAGAAACATTACAAACAACTTCATCATATTCAATAAATTTCCCAAATAAACAAACACAGTGAAGAACTAATCAGTTCTATAAACAGTGACAACCACAACAATGAAGCAAATTCCCAAAGAAACCTAAAACCACCACTTACAAGCTTAATGGCCACATCCTCATTAGTCTGGACATTAGTACCTGATAGGAAAGAACCCAAAAAATTAAAAACATAAAATTCAAAGTAATCAAAATCTCATCTTTTTCGCTGATAACTGACCTAGATAGATCTCCCCAAACGATCCGCTGCCGATCTTCCGACCGAGCCGGAACTTATTCCCAACGCGAGGCTCCATCACGAAAAAACCCCAACCCTAATCCCCCCAAATCCCCAACCCTAACCC